TAGATAGATAGATAGATAGATAGATAGATAGATAGATAGAGAGAGATAGACAGACAGACAGACAGACAGACAGACAGACAGACAGACAATGATAGGTAGACAGATAGATAGATGAGAGAGAGAGAGAATGATAGGTAGGTAGGTAGGTAGGTAGGTAGGTAGGTAGATGGATGACAGAGATGATAGATAAGATGACAGACACAGATAGATAGACAGATAGATGACAGACAGACAGACAGACAGACAGAGATGATAGACCGATAGATAGCTATAGACAGACAGACAGATGACAGATATAGATGACAGACAGAGATGATAGATGACAGACAGACAGATAACAGATATTTAGATATAGATAGATGACAGAGATGATAGATGACAGACAGACATAGATATAGATAGATGACAGACAGATAGATGACAGATAAGATATAGATAGATAGATGACAGACAGATAGATAGACAGACAGAGATGATAGATAGATGACATAGATGATAGAGATAAATAGATAGATGATAGATAAATCTGATGAGTTCTTTTAAATAGAGGATATAGATTGATAGATATAGATAAGAGTTACTTATTAAATTTATATGCCAAAGTGGAGCTACTCTAGGCAGTTCACATCATAAAAATAGCAATATAAAATATTAAGATGTCAAAACAGGAAAAAATGAGCATTAAAAGTTAACAAAACCTGGGCAAAATAGGAACCAATACATAAATCGAATGGAGGTGAGATCTTCTTACTCTACTGACCATTGTCTGTGTGTCTGTGTTTGTTATAACTCATTAAAATGTTATTTATGGCGGCCAATCAATATCTGGCAGCAGAATTTTGTGCAAACGAGTTGTATGTAGTAAAAAAAAAAATGCCCCAAGACATGGTTTTATTTTAACGGATAAACTCAACAGCATCCTGGGAAAGTCTACTACGGTTTACAAGTTAGGAACAAAGACTGAAAGCAGGTAAGAGGACAAAAGGGATGTTTGGAAGAGAAATAGGAGGAAAAAATTCAAGACAAAATTCAAACCAGTCCAAACACCCCGAGCCCTGAAGAGATTTCTCTCTGCCCAACTTCCACCCCTTATGTACAACTTGCAAACTTTACGAACGCCTCCTCAAGAGAGCTGACCCTGCTATTTGGCCTGAAGTGAAGCAACATTAGGCAGTGAGTGTCATCCGGATTCCTTACCTTAGTGGAATGAAGAGGATTCCATTGATAATATTCAGCTGCTCTAAGACGCTGGCCATGCTGGGAGCTGTGAACTGGGACATGGAACAAGCCGAGTTTAGTGTCACGTTAAGAAAAGACGACCACCCAAATTCACCTTTTGCTTCTCATCCAAGGAGCTTCTTCTGTTGTAACTCAGAACTGAAGAAGCTTCTTGGATGAGAAGCAAAATGTTTTCAGAAGAAAACACACCCTCTCACACACACACAAATCCACTTGCCTTTTGGGAAGAGGCTTTGGGACAAAAGCATGAATATGTTTTGTTTTGGGGAAGGGAGCTGTGTTCAAATCCATGCTCAACCAACAAGCTGGCTACTCTGTCTTCAACGTCTTACAACTGAAAGACAGAAATTCTTCCCTTCCTGTGGTGGTGATGTTCCTGCAGGCGCAGAGCAAAAATCTGAAGCCCATTTTTTTAAATTTGGAATTGCCAATAGTTAAGGCAAAATAAATGTGAAATATTATGTCTAAGAAATGCTTTGTACAACTCTTAATTTTTATTTACACGCCCCCCCCCCCCGGGGAAATGTTGCTACTGAAAAACAACAATCATCATCATCATCCTCTTCATTTAATGACCCCATAATCCCTTGCAAGCTAAAGTCTGAGCAACTGAATGAAGCTAGGAGAGTTTTTTAATGGCCGGATGCTCTACCTGTTGCCAGTGCTGAGTTTTGTTCAGCAGGTATAGTCTCAGTGTGTCCAGAGAGATAAATATCTGCCTCTATCTAGGCTGGAACTCACAGCCTCCCGATTGTAAGGCGGGAGCTCCACCTCTAGGCCACCACACCTCTCCTTACTGAAAAATAACATTCTGTCCTCAAATTTGATTTTGCAATATTGAGGGGCTCTTAGAGCCCAGATGTGATTGGGGAACCTCTTGAAGCACCACGAGATATGGCCGAGACTAGTCAAGAAGGGGCTGCAACCAACATGGACTCTCCCAGCTATAAAACAAAACCCCCCAATAACAGCGGCAGAGAATAAACTGGACAAGCTTGTTAAAGTACCGTATTTTTGGGAGTATAAGATGCACCTTTTTCCCTCAAAAAAGAGGGTGAAAATCTGGGTGCGTCCTATACACTGAATACAGCATTTTGGCCTATCGAAACCCCGCTCCCTTTGCAAAAATGGACGTGCTTAGCCTTTAGGAGGCTTCCAGAGTGCTGCTGGGAGCTGGGGAGGGCAAAAAAAAAGCAAAAAGCAGGGCGTATTTGCCCCCCCCCCCCCAGGAGCACTCTACAAGCCTCCCAAAGCCTCTGCATGCCCTTTTGTTTTGCAAAAAATGGGCCGTTTGGGGAAAAAATGGGCTGTTTTTTTGCTCATTTTTGGCCCCCTCCAGCCCCCAAGAGCACTCTACAANCAGGGAAAGGCAAACATGGCACAGAGTCTCTTAAAATCACATAGAAAACTTGCCAATCTTGAACCGACCGAATGAACGAATTGTTTTCTGCAAAAGCCCCCTCCCCATTCGTTCCTCTTTTGTTTCCTATGGGAGGGGTCAATCACCTCCAAGGTGTGGCTTTACTCCTAAGTCTACCCTATTTTCTCTGAGCTCTGCGCATGCGCACACTGGGAACAGGCTCCAGCTGTTCTTCTGCCTCATTGCTGTCTAACTCCCTCTGTGCCTCTGACGCAGAGCCCTCATCTGAGCTTTCCTCCATCCCCAGGACTGGCCCAGGTTCCTCCCCAACCTCCTCACTGTCCGACTCTGCTGCCAGATCCGCTGGCTGTTGGAGGAGGGCCACAACAAAAATAAGGAATTATTCCTTCTGTGGGAAGGACTCCATTCAGAGACAATTATCAGAAGGAAGAGGGATGATTTTGGACTCGGTGCACCAAAGGAAGCTGGGCTGTCTTCCTTCCTTCAAATCTGAAGGGGAAATTTTTGGCCAGGAAGACGATCAGCCTGAAATGCAAAAGGCCCCCAGGGCCAATTTGGGCACTGTAAGACTGGCCCTGAGCTGCCGTATCTAAAGATGAAGCAAGCGCATCAGCAGGGTGGGCAAAAGCCAGGAAAAGATCCGTTTAAGAAGGAACCACAATCAGGAAATGAAGGGGAAAAAATATAACATGAGCCAGATGAAACAAGCTGGGCCTGAGCACCTGAGGAAACCTGTTCTGATCTAGGCTTCCCCAAACCACGAAAGCAGATTCCTTGTCCCGACAAAACCCCTTTTTTATTAAGTGAATTCCTCTCATCCACATCCAGCAAAGTCTTTCAAGGGTGAATTTACGGTCACAGAGCTTATCTGGCTTGGAGAGCTGCCAGGCCGATATCTTCCAAACGCAACGCTGTACTTGGCAAGGAGTCTTTGAGGCTCGCAAACCAATTAAGCGAACTAATTGTCTCCTGCAAACTCCCCTCCCCTTTCGTTCTTTATTCGCTATGGGCCATTCACCGTCCACCTGTGCCTTTACTCCCGAGTCGGCCCTTGTTCCTTAGCTGTTCCCTTCTCCTGGCAGCTCTGTGAATGTGCACACTGGGAACAGGCTCCAGCTGTTCTTCTGCTTCACTGATCTCCGACTCTGAAGGCAGTTGATAACTGGCATACGGCTCTGGCAGAGCCCTCGTCCGAGCCTTCGCCAGACTCCAGGACTGGCCCATGTTCCTCCCCAACTTCCTCACTGTTTGAATCTGCTGCCAGATCCGCAAAACCCTCCCCAAGACCCCTGCATATCTAATAGACTTGTAAATCAATGGGGCAAGAGAAGCTGTCACTCTTGTGAATGAACACAGCAAGGTCTTGATGGGATAAAAGGGGTCTCAAAAGCCCACCCACTCTTTGAATCTTCTTTGGATCCCGGCATGGCAGCTTCTTTCTCTCTGGCTCGTGCCTGCCTGCCTAGTTGAGAGGGTAAGTAAATGTGGAGGAATGTATGTGTGTACATGTGGGAAAGAGCAAGTTATCTACATGACAAGCAATAAAGTTTTGCTATTATTTTAAATTCACTGGGCCTCCCCGTACTCCCAAAAATTATTTGTGCCTCAGTGAAAGAGATTTCTGGTGGGAGGGGGGGACATTTTCCAGGGCTGTGAGTGTGTGAGTGAACGACTGTCAGCTGAACTTGGGAGCATCATGTGTGTAACAGAGTTACCCTGTGGTAAGATGGATGGCCAATTAATTTCAAAAATAAATAAATATAAAAATAAACAGCACCTCACTGAAAGAAATTAGTGATGGTCCACTGCAGAGTTTGGGTAGATGGATAGATAAATCTGATCGGTTTTTTTAGATAGATGACAGACAGACAGATAGCTATAGATAGATAGATAGATAGATAGATAGATAGATAGATAGATAGATAGATAGATAGATAGATAGAT